CGTCTCCCTGATACCAGGTTTTAGCCAGGTGGCGTGGTGTTGTCGTCTCCCTGATACCAGGTTTTAGCCAGGTGGCGTGGTTTTGTCGTCTCCCTGATACCAGGTTTTAGCCAGGTGGCGTGGTTTTGTCGTCTCCCTGATACCAGGTTTTAGCCAGGTGGCGTGGTGTTGTCGTCTCCCTGATACCAGGTTTTAGCCAGGTGGCGTGGTGTTGTCGTCTCCCTGATACCAGGTTTTAGCCAGGTGGCGTGGTGTTGTCGTCTCCCTGATACCAGGTTTTAGCCAGGTGGCGTGGTTTTGTCGTCTCCCTGATACCAGGTTTTAGCCAGGTGGCGTGGTTTTGTCATATCACTGATACCAGGTTTAAGCCAGGTGGCGTGGTTTTGTCATATCACTGATACCAGGTTTAAGCCAGGTGGCGTGGTTTTGTCGTCTCTCTGATACCAGGTTTTAGCCAGGTGGCGTGGTTTTGTCGTCTCCCTGATACCAGGTTGTAGCCAGGTGGCGTGGTTTTGTCGTCTCACTGATACCAGGTTTAAGCCAGGTGGCGTGGTTTTGTCGTCTCTCTGATACCAGTTTGTAGTCCAGTGTCGTGGTTTTGTCGTCTCACTGATACCAGGTTTAAGCCAGGTGTCGTGGTTTTGTCGTCTCCCTGATACCAGGTTTTAGCCAGGTGGCGTGGTGTTGTCGTCTCCCTGATACCAGGTTTTAGCCAGGTGGCGTGGTTTTGTCGTCTCACTGATACCAGGATGTAGCCCAGAAGCATGGTCTTCTGTATTTGTCTTGTGCTTCTCTGGTGGCTTGGGTGATGGATTTGGTAATTAATTTGTGTGTGGGGGGAGGGGGGAGACAGGTTTCGGCTACACATTTATCTATGTCTTTCTTGGTCTGGCTCTCACCTTCCTCCCAGATGTTCTCCTGTAAAAAATATCATATGCAGTCTGCTCTGGTCTGGCTGCATTCTCACTGGATGGCCAAACCATTTAGTTTTTTTTTTTTTTCTAAACAATCCACATCGATCTTATTTCGGCTTTCTCTCTATTGCTGGTAATCATAACCCTGTCTCTTCTTGGGTTGTTGGTGACCTTGCGGACTCTCGGTATGATCAACACAATGCCGACCACCTTTGCTCAAAGTACATTTCCTGGTACCCATTTTAGGCTAGGACGACCTGGGAGCCAAGGTTAGCGTTTAAAGTCAGCCCGGTGCCAATTCGACCCAAAACCTTCGGGCCACTAGGCAGATCTTTAATCACTGCACTTACTTCTGTGGTTCTTAACATAAAGTTACAAAAAATATCATAACCTAATACAATATAAGTCTGCACTATAAAATCAATAACTCTCGTGGATTATACAATATCAGCCCATTATAATAGGTGACTCGTGCAGGCTAAAACAAACAACAGTAATGGATAACATACATTCCAGGAAATGATTAAATTATCAAGATGAGTACAACAGCGAAACTAAATCCGGTCCAACAATTGCAACCGTCGTAGATTGCTTGTTTGCTGTGGAAACAATCGTTAAGATTAAGGTGGCCCGGAAACTTGCACTGCGGTAATGTCAAACAAACGGCATACATGTTGATGCAAGTAGAGATAGAAGAGAAGCTTGAAATCAGGGTTTACAAATGTGAACAAAAGAAAGCGAAACGTTGGCAAAGAGAAGCCGGGTACTGTAGTACTGTTGTCCGGAATCTAAAAATGCTACTGCGAAACTGTTTCGATCTGGGAAATTGTATAACGCATAAAACAGCAGAGAAATATCAGGAGGAGTAAACAAGCGTGCAGGGATGTATCGAGTGACTCTTTGTCGTGACATCTGCAGAGGTCTAGTGGATCTAAACGGAAAGTATTGACACCAGCAAGCAATTATCGTTTTCAGTACATTCTGAGAGTGGAGTAGCAGTAGAGTAGTAGCTAAAAGACCATCTAAAGACTCAATGATCCTGGGTTGAAGTTGAATTGAGTTGAGTCAAGAATTGACACAACAGCTCCCGGGGCATTCTCTTAATCGCTCCGTCCACAACATCAGCAGCCAGCGCAGAGTTTCAATATTAGTGGTACCGGTCGTAGTCTTGTTGTATGTCCGTTTTGCCTTTGAGTGTAGTGAGCCGGCTAGACCCTCTGGTCACACCCAGGGGTATTAGTCTCTCCCCGCCATGATAATTCAGTTTCTCCTCTGATTTCGTTACATGTTCCCAGAAAGCATTGACCGTATCTGCCTGGTCATGTATCAATCAATTCCCCACCCAGATCCAGCTAATCTGTCTGCCTGTTCATTCCCCACTACGCGGGCATAGTCTGGAGTCAAGATCCAAAATATGCTTCATACCTGTGACCTTCCAAGTGAAGTTTGCCACTCTGCTTGAAGCAACCCTGTCTTCACTTTTCTCAGCATGCTTTTAAAATCTGTTGCAATAACGACATGTGTATGCATCTTATTCTCTAGCCACCGGAAAGCTGCAGTGACCGCCTCTACCTCTATGCTCATACTTGATGTCATGGTATCGTATGCTAGGCTGTCCAGCACTACAGGTTTTCTATTGGCTTTTGCTACGAACTACCACTTCTCCTCCCTCTCAACACAGAACCATCTGTATAGATAATTAGATCATCTGTACAAGAATTGTGGCAAATCAACTGTTGGACTTTTATCTCCGTAGCACCCGATGGCCACTCTCTGCACTTCCGGCTAATTATGAGTTGAAAATCTCACCAAAAAGATTTGTTTTTGAAAATGAATTATGTGTGCTTCCTTGTCTACTCACCTAATAATAGATAGTTAGGAGCCCAGAGTGCTGTTGAAAACATCAAACACTCATTCAAAAATGTGTCTAGCACAATATACCCGATGTGACTGACAATCACTGATCGTTAGTTGAAGATCCAGCTAGGCGACATACTTATTATCATCATGATATAGGTTCTTTTGCACAACCTTGCTCTCATCACAGACTGCCCGAAAGAAACTCGGTCACTCGCCAGCCCTCATGGCTCGTGCACTTTCATATTCAAAGAGTCACTTATATCCCGTGCCCATCTTCGTGTTAGTCTGCTCCTGTCCCTTCTTCCTGGTACCAAGTCTTCTGCTATTATTTTTTTTTAAATCTGTCATGGCGCTTAATATGACTAAAATATTTTAGCTTCCGTGACTAGATGCTGATCTTCCTTGATGTTCAACTCTTTAAAATGTTCAGTATTTTTTCTCTTCTTTGTCTATACTTTGAGCATCTTTCTTTAGCATTTCAGCTCAAAGGCTAGCGACAAACTGGTTGTCCTATAATTGCTCCTTTCCTGTGAGAGTAGAAACCCCATAGAATGCACATCACTGTACCATGCGACAACATTAGGCAGACTGCAGTCATGTGGCAAAAGATGCGCAAAGCCACCATGAGCCTTTACATAATTTACTTGCTAACTAAGATACCAGCATCCGTGATGGTTTAGTAACTAAAGCTCCTCTATAAAAAAGAGTGTGATGCGGGTTAATACTCATTATCATTATCCTTATCAACACCACAATTGTTATCTTAACGTGTTGTTATTGTTTTGTCACGCAGGCTCATAATCGATACATTCTTTTCGTTTTATCCGTTTGATACCGTGTATAATATTTATGCTGGCATCCCTAGCCTCTTTTATCTACATCCACAGTAGGGTCTCATAGTATCCATCAATAACATAATTACGTTCTTCACCAATATCTGCGTCTCCGGGAAAGCCAGTGTAAAATGGGTATTGGACCACTTACAGTTTTCTGGAAATTTATAAAAGGAAAAGTGACAAGGAAATGAACTGTCAACCTCTCCTAGTTATGCGGTAAAAGGAATGTGTGAAAGCTTAACATTCCACACCTCAATATCGGTGTATCTATGTTGTACACTTAATTTGTTGTACACTTTGTTGTAGTACACTGTAATTTCAAGAACCAAGTATTTAGGCCTAGGGTGCCTATTCTAGTACTCCGCTGGATATCTCCTTGATGGATGTGCTACAGTGTAGTCCTGCATACTATAACTGGCCCATTTGGCCCAGCATCATCTAACACAGTTGCTATCTTTACAAGTCAACAATAACGCTTGTGACAGGCCACATAAACTTTAATGGCATTAAAGTTACACGTCACAAGATGATGATGATTATTCAATAAAACGTACGATAATAACTCCCTATTATCTACTCTGAGAATATAAAAGAATTACACTCTTTTCTCAATGGACTCCTGCCATTATAATAAATAAATAGACATTAAACTGTCTCCCGTGTAAGTACGGTTAATTAAATAAAACCTCACAAAGAGGGAACGTCTGCTTCGAACAAGGGAAATATCTTGACTGCCGAATCCTTTGTGTTCTGCAGGAGCCTTTGTGTTAATCGCCCAGCATTCAATTAGCTGGTATCCCAGGTAACAGACCCGACCGGTGGCCGCTGTGTGAACCTTTCACCTGCGCTGTGACCACTAGAAGAAACTAGAAGAAACTTTAACTCTTTGGACAATAAGATTACAACAATCTATTTCTTCTTAGCGTTTAGCAGGTTAAACTACGGTGGAAAGTTAGGGGTCTTCACCCACTTCTGGACTTCAGTCTTGTTCCAGAGCGTAAGTTGTGCGTGCCTGGTCTGCACAGCCTTGTTAAAAACAGAGCTTATTTATATGCAGAATGTTCGCTAATCGCCTCTTGGGCAGACGCACTCTGACTATGAAGGAACCGCTACAGATTAGTCGACCTTAACGACATGCTTGTAGGTGGACAGTGGATCTATTCTTCCACCCATCCCTCCCCAATAATCTGTCGTCTTTTACAACATGCTTGTTATTGAGCAGTGGGTTTTCGCCCCCCCCCCAACACCCCACACACACACACACACACAAACACAAAACATTGAGCACCAAAACGCACACTGAGACATCACGGTTCAGAAACACATCTCTTCCATGCGAACTTTTCGGCCTGCTCTAACCCTGAAATCAATTTCCTGCGACAGGTCACCAATGCCACCACACCGGGGACCATTCCCTATCCCTGGCAGAACCTATTCCCTATCCCTGGCAGAACCTATTCCCTATCCCTGGCAGAACCTATTCCCTATCCCTGGCAGAACCCATTCCCTATCCCTGGCAGAACCTATTCCCTATCCCTGGCAGAACCTATTCCCTATCCCTGGCAGAACCTATTCCCTATCCCTGGCAGAACCTATTCCCTATCCCTGGCAGAACCTATTCCCTATCCCTGGCAGAACCTATTCCCTATCCCTGGCAGAACCCATTCCCTATCCCTGGCAGAACCTATTCCCTATCCCTGGCAGAACCCATTCCCTATCCCTGGCAGAACCTATTCCCTATCCCTGGCAGAACCTATTCCCTATCCCTGGCAGAACCCATTCCCTATCCCTGGCAGAACCTATTCCCTATCCCTGGCAGAACCTATTCCCTATCCCTGGCAGAACCTATTCCCTATCCCTGGCAGAACCTATTCCCTATCCCTGGCAGAACCTATTCCCGATCCCTGGCAGAACCTATTCCCTATCCCTGGCAGAACCTATTCCCTATCCCTGGCAGAACCCATTCCCTATCCCTGGCAGAACCTATTCCCTATCCCTGGCAGAACCTATTCCCTATCCCTGGCAGAACCCATTCCTTATCCCTGGCAGAACCTATTCCCTATTCCTGGCAGAACCCATTCCCTATCCCTGGCAGAACCTATTTCCTATCCCCGGTACACCAGCCAGAATAGTTTAGCAGGATGTCATTTGTGTAATATTTCTAACATTCGAATGTTTATTATCTGTCAAAGAGTGACAATATTTAGCCTGTCGTTTAGATGATAACCCAAGGATGTAACAATCGGTCAGTGATACCAGCGTTGCATCACAGACCTTTTTTTTTAAAGTGACCAAAATCAAAAGCACTGGTTTTTAAAGTCCAGAGAGTCAGATCTCATAAACTAGCGGAAAAACAAACACAAATAAAAAAGCGTACCAACCAATAATTTCAGGAAAATCGAAAAAGAAGAATACCTCTAACTATCCTTTCCATATAGTATAGCATATGCCCAAATATCTATCTATCATCTGCATATGATATGGTATATAACAAGTATATCTATTGATCAGCCCCACATTGTAGAACATATAATAAAAATATCTATATCGATCATCTCCACGTGTTGTGAAATATATAGAACACTAAATTGATCAGCTCCACATAGTTTGTCATATTAGAAGAATATCACTATCGATCAACTTTACATGGTATGGCACAAGAGAAAAATATTTTTTATCGATCAGCTCCACATGGTATGTCATTTTAGACAAATATTTATATTGATAAACTCCACGTGGTATGTTATATTAGAACAATATCTACATCTGTCAACTTCACGTGGTATGTCATATTAGAAGAAAATCTATATCGATTGACTTCACATGGTATGGTATATAAGAGGAATTTCCCTATCGATCAGCTCCACATGGTCCGACATTTTAGAAGAACATCTCTATCGATCAATTTCCCATGGTACGACATTTTAGAAGAACATCTCTATCGATCAACTTCACATGGTACGGCATTTTAGAAGAACATCTCTATCGATCAATTTCACATGGTACGACATTTTAGAAGAACATCTCTATCGATCAATTTCACATGGTACGACATTTTAGAAGAACATCTCTAGCGATCAACTTCACATGGTACGACATTTTAGAAGAAAATCTCTAGCGATCAACTTCACATGGTATGATATATAAGAATACAAATACTGATACGGAGTGTGAGAAGAAGGCCTGTGTTGATGCACTAACGATTGTGCAGGTTGTGAAATGGTTACTGTGTGGATTATTGGAGTATTTGCCATGGATTGCTACTGCATCCATTGATGGAATATTAGCTGTATGGATTAATGGAATTGTTACTGCATGCATCGATGGAATAATTGCTGTATGGATTAATGGAATTGTTACTGCATGCATTGATGGAATGATTGCTGTATGGATTAATGGAATTGTTACTGCATGCATTGATGGAATAATTGCTGTATGGATTAATGGAATTGTTACTGCATGCATTGATGGAATGATTGCTGTATGGATTAATGGAATTGTTACTGCATGCATTGATGGAATAATTGCTGTATGGATTAATGGAATTGTTACTGCATGCATTGATGGAATGATTGCTGTATGGATTAATGGAATTGTTACTGCATGCATTGATGGAATAATTGCTGTATGGATTAATGGAATTGTTACTGCATGCATTGATGGAATAATTGCTGTATGGATTAATGGAATTGTTACTGCATGCATTGATGGAATGATTGCTGTATGGATTAATGGAATTGTTACTGCATCCATTGATGGAATAATTGCTGTATGGATTAATGGAATTGTTACTGCATGCATTGATGGAATGATTGCTGTATGGATTAATGGAATTGTTACTGCATGCATCGATGGAATAATTGCTGTATGGATTGGTGGAATTGATACGGCATGGACTGATGAAATAGTACTGTGTGGAGTGTGCTGTAAACAGACTTAGGTAAACTGAGATGGGGTAAACATGGTTCAAGTAAATATAAGTTTAAATTGAATATTTTTTCACAGACAAGATTGAAAACTGGCCATTCCCATTCACAAAACTGTGACCTTATATCTATATGTGAAGTCATATCACTTCATACTGTCGCCTCATTATCTGCCCAGAGATTGTCTTTCAATCTGTAAAACAACATAGCGGCGAAAAAGCGATCCGTTTGTTTATAGGCTTTCCCTTACAGACAAGATCCTCACAAAGCCAGGCCTGATAACCCAGGCCCTAAATGTTTTGCTTCGTCCTTGCCGTGGGAAAAACAAACACTCAGAGAAAGCAAAGGCCTTTAAAAAAGGTATCGACCCGCGGCCGGCAAATTCTCTTTGTATTTGTTCTACCAGGGTCAGGCATTGTTTCCGCCAACCTGGCTTTAAGATATTTGCACCATCACAAGATCCCAATAGGTTCTAGACGTCAGGAAAACCTTGATCCTGTCTAATCGCCAGCATCTTCACTCGACCCACACACACAAAAACAAATCGGGTCTACAGTTCTCTCTTTTCTTCCTTTAGAATCAAAGAACGGATCTAACCGGAAGCTTGCAGCATCTAGAGTACGCGCCATTTTTCTCTAATGACCATGCAGCTAAGCTCTTTATTCTCTTTGCTGCGTAGCTGGTAATGATCTGTGTATATTCTTTTTTTTTTTTTAAAAGACTTCCTTTTTATTCCTCATCGAAGTCTTGCTCAGCAACTGTTTCTTACTTCTTTTTTCCTTCTTTGTTTTTCAATTTTTCTTTTTCTTCCTTCAAATTCGATTCACCATCCGAGAAGTTAGACACTTCTAGAGAACCCCCCCCCCCCCCCCCACACACACACACACACACATACACACACACAAGGAATAGTCTTAAACCTCAATATTTAATTGTGCAATGGAAATGCTCTCTGTCTGTTTCTCTTTCTATATATTTATATCCTAGTCTGTCTGGGTGCCTGCATGTCTGCATGTAAGGCCACAGTGTTGTCTGTTTGTAGGCGAAATTCTGGAGTCTTCTAAAGAGACATCGACCTGCTGCTTCGAGACAATAAGCTAAGTCATTTTGTGTCTTTGTTTTGATATTGTTTGATTTATGTAGGTGCTGATGAAGGTTTAACAGCCGCAACGTTCACGTTTTGTTTGTGTTTGTTATATTGTAAAGCTTGCTGATATACTTTTCGTTCACTTTCATATCTTTTCTTGCCTGCCTATTTATTCCCAATCTATCTTTTCTCTGTCTTTCGGCCTGTCTGCTTTTACATCAGCCTGTATATATGCGTGTTTATCAGTCTGTCTGCTTCCCTACCTAACTGTCTGCTTTTGTGCCAGCTTGGGTGTATGAATGTCTTCCTGTCTGGTGGCCAATCTTTCTACCTGTCAAAACACCCTACCTAATTCTGTCTGTCGTGTCGCCTGTCTACCTCTATGTCTGTCGTCTTGCCTGTCCGCCTTTGAGTCTGTCATTTCGTCTGCCTGCTTCTATGTCTGTGGCCTTGCCTGTCCGCCTATGAGTCTGTCATTTCGCCTGTCTGCTTCTATGTCTGTGGCCTTGCCTGTCCGCCTTTGAGTCTGTCATTTCGCCTGTCTGCTTCGGTCTCTGTTTATCAGTCTGCCTACCTATTTTTGTATCTGCCTCTTACGTGTTAATAACCAAAATCGGTGCCCCATATTTCCATTTTCTGACGCATTTTATCGGCAGCTTGAAGCAGTAATTTTTTTTTTTATTTCAGTAGAAACAACAATGCAGATTTTAATAAAGTCACTCATTGTTCACGGGAGCTCGCTTATTAGGTACAGTCGAAACACAGCATACAATGTAAACGTACATAATAATCTTGCTCGATAATTAACAACAGCATCATTTTGTGAGCTGAAATATGATCACAACAAGAGCTAATCTAAATAGACTTCATCATCATAATCTTGATCATTCTTTTGTTCTCTATATGTCACAAAGTGCTCACCGTTATTTCCTCAATTACTTTCTTCTTGTCTGTGGCTTAGGCGTTGCGAACGCGCTTCGTAATGCCGTGGTGCTGGGTTCGATACCAGCTGCGGGCCTTGCGCCTTGCGTTGGTTTGGACAGTGGTATCGAGAAGCCGGCCGTTTAAAAATCAATGGCAAACTTCTGGACATAAACACGCCTAACAAAACCACAACAGCTCCCAAAAAATAAAATGATGGGGTTGGTTCTGCAACGTCCTGTAAAGGATACGCCACTGACTTATTATTACGTTCTTCTTCAACCTGTGCCGTCGGGAGTTAGTTGTTATGACAGTCAACAACCTTCTGTTAGTTCTGACACTGACAATTTTTTTACGCCATGATGCAAGGCTGTCCATGAGCTTCACACTCTTATCTCCCTTTGCTGCTTTTCCCTCCAACTTTCCCACCGTCGCAATGTTCTGTGGTTTTCTCCTCCTCGTGGCATTAATAAAGAATGTATATTGTATCCTTCTGATGTTGGCAATCAGCTCTCTTCGTGAATCAGTTTCCTTCTTGATATCATCATCACTGCCTAAAAGAAATTCTAGTTATATTGTTCTCCGTTTTTCTTAAAGTGTATCCTATCCAATGCCAGCATTTTTTTTTTTTTTCACCTCTTCGTCCACTGGAGCTTGCTTAGTTCTCTATCAAAGCTCTACATTAGTGATTCTATCACACTATTTAATTCCCTCTATATTTTCTTATCATTCGTCTATTAAGCCCCATCTCCGCCGACTCCAAATAATTGTCCAACACTCATCGAGCTTTTCATTCATCCTTCATTGGCACCTTTCTGTCTTTCCAGACGATAGTGTTATATTGAGCTATGAGGAGGCATGAGACTCACAGCCCATGGCGATGGCGAGTGTGACTAGCAAGACCCGCCCGTGTCAAGAAAAGTCTTCCACAATGATAGCATGGGATTTCAGGACCATTATTAACAACATTTGTGTTTAATCTGTTTGTTTTCAGACGCTCAGCTCTCATCCTTTCTGCAATAATTTCTTCCTTCAGTCTCATCCCCTTCCTGATATGCCCTTTCCCAACAACACGGTCCATGGCATTTTGTTCCCATGAGTCTGCCTCAATACCTGTATCATTCAAGCTGTTCATTAATCACTTCTATATATCAGGAGAGGATTTACAAAGCTCTCCAGAATGCTCCCTTTCGTTCTTGACTA